TTAATTAATTCTAGATTAATTCTTGATCAATAATAATTAAATAATCTTATTAATATACTAGAACTTATAATATATTAACAAACCTTAAGTGTTATTTCTCTCATTATAGTCAATCCAAATGCATGATGACATGCAACCCAAATGGACCATGCCAGGTCGGGTCAAGTCTTACCAATTATAGTTATGGACTCAGACATCAATCCAATAGTTCCTTCTTTCAAGTCTCGTTTGTCATCAAGATCATAAACCCAACAATTTTTGAAATTGATCTACAAATCATCCTAAGTTTCAACGTCCATAGCCTCAAAACAACTTGTATCGAACGATTTTAACATCTAATTCATCAAATTAACTCCAGAAAATCACAGTTGACTTTTTAGGAAGATTGACTTTTCGAAATCAAATATCACCGAACAGAAAAATGAATGATTCTAATGCTCGATTTCAAATCAAAGCTGTGATTAACAAACTGTTCTTCACATGTTCTTCACAAAAACCTCAAAGATTTGAACAATTTTATCAAAATCAACCACACACAGCCGATTCACTTTATCATCATCGGCTTTCCATAGAGGAACTGATTCACAAGTCGAGATTCAGAAACAAACTCCATTCAATTAATCAGAAACATTGAATCGAAATCGGAACTCAAGAACATGAAAAAAAATCGAGTCAAAAGCATTGGATACGAGCTAATATGCATACGAAGAACGACGAACAATAATGCCTTAAATTGAATGAATTTAACGAATAATTGGGCTCAAATAGTGATTATATCGGATTCAAAGACTTATGGGCTAAAAAAAATGATGAACAATACTTGTGATATTGATTTTGGGCTTAATTGACTTTTGGACTCAACTTGTGAATTGAAAATCAGATGCATACAATTTGTTTACACATTTGATTTTAATGATAGATTCAAATGAACATTATTAATTTGAAAATCGAATAGAACAAACACATAGGATTAGATTGGGATTTGATCAGCAAAAAATTTATTGAATCAACAATGGGGTTTTTCAAGAAAAAATTGATCCAATAAGTCAAAAGATCATGAATCAAAAACAAAACGCACGAATTGAAATCATGGACGTTTTGGAATCCATTTGAGAATTTGTGATACCTTTTTGACGAATCGAGATCCATTTTCAACGAACGAATCAAATTTGAAAGATGTTGGTTCTTTTTCAGAATGAGAAAATCTCTGATTTGAACATTATACCACCTATTATGTGAGATGTACAACTCTTTCTTCGTGTTCTTCGTGTTCTTCAACGATCTAAGAGCATCTTCAAAAGAACCACCAACACATTTGGGTTTTGACTTCAAATTCAATGCAACATTTGGAGATTGTTGCTTTGGAATCCAAATTTGCTTCACGGATTTAGATTTCACAACAATATTTGACGATTTTTGTGAATAAACCCGCTTGTTCTTCCGTTTAATCTTCTTCTTCTTTTTCTTTCTCATCTTTTTGCATCTAGAAGACTTGACATCATGAAAAAACCCACTTTCCATAACTTGAACTTTGTGAGTTTGAATCAAATCTTTAGGAGTTTGATACTTCTTAACTTCTTGAATCACCGGCTTCCGATACGGAATCATTCCTTCAAACGAATCATAAGAAGACACAATATCATCGGTTTGAACTGCAATTGGGGAAAAAAAATTTCATCTTGAAAATCAACTTGAACTCCTTTTTCTTCAACATCAAGAACATCACATTGAACTGCATTTTCAAGAACTTCAACAACCTTAAGACACGAAGATCATTTCGGTCTTCAATAAGAGAAACATATTTCTTTTTGAACAAATATTTTTCTTCTCCAATCTTATCACTACTACGTGTTGTTATGGTCCATGTAATATTAGTCAACCATTTGATCTCACAAAGTGGTTGAAATTTCAAGCTTCCATGATCATCCTTCAATCCTCCATAAGAAACCATAGTTTCCCAAAAAAAATCAACTAGTTTAACACCAACCCATAATATTGATCCTTATTGACTTTGTATTTGATACCTTCAACAATCACAATCCAAGAATTGTAAGGCAAATTCACCATGATTACAAAAACTTGAAGATTTCTAGAGAAAGAAAGTGATTTTGAATGGGTTTTCTAGAGAGAGAAAGTAAAAACCACTTGAATTCTAGTGAAGAAAATCGAATTTTGATAAGAATCAAAGATGAATTCGATTTCTAGAATCCAAAAACTCTATAAATCATGAAGATCAATGAACAAAAAGAATCACCAAATCAAGATAGCCATCAAGGATCAATTCTTGATCCAATCAAGAACACCCGCTCTAATACCAAATGATGTGGTGTTGATTAAGATGGCATGTGCGGAATATGAAAGATCTAGTGATTCAACATGTAAAATTAAGAACACAAGGAGTAAATAAATCTATGTAAGCTCATATTAGATCTAGAAAAAATATACAAATGGGTTTGTACAAAGTTTCTCTTTCTAGTCTAACACTCCAAAATGGTTCCTTACATAAAATGAGTGCCACCCACTTCCTTATAAAGGAAAGACAACTCATTACACACATAAGTGGGTAAAGCCTCATCCAAGCATGACTTTGCACCCTAACATAAAGAGTACAACCCCGATGAACCCTAGCAACCTGAATAGATCTATCATCCGTGATGTCTAAATCTAATCAACAATCCATCTCCCCCAGAGCTCCAACAAACCTCTTGCTAAGAACAAGCAATACAAATGATTGGGTAGCTCCCGAACCAAGAAACACTAAAGTCGACATACCGTTCACAAGGAATGATCCTAAAATAAAAAACATAATTATAAACAAACAAATCAATATAAATAAAGAGATAAGGAGAAGATACATACCCATCACCACGCCGGGAGTCACACGAGCCTTCTCGGCCGTCAATTGAAAAGCCTTACTCTTCACCACCGGTGCATCAAGTAATCAAAACCAAGAGCTATTAAATAGAGTTAAAACCTGACCTTCTAAAATTATTTAGTTCTTATAATATGTAACATAGCATATTCTCTTACTAGTTAGATGAAGCTAGTGAGAACTCCAAAAAGCACAAAGCAAGTGACATTCGAGCATCAAGTTATCAAAACAAAGCATCACCTAATCAGGCCATCCTATTAGTAATTGATCAGTACTAGCATCCAAGTCTACAAGGTCATACAATAGGCATATAAATGCGTCTCTCCTAGCATCCTATCATGTAAAAACCGAGCAGATCCTTAGCCCTAACTACCATGTGATTCACAGATTCACAAATCAAATCATATTAGATAACATGTATGAGTATTTTGGGAAAACTTACTTGAGCTCGGTCAATTGCATGCACCACACCATTTATTGTCTTAGAAAACTTTTTTCTTAAAAATACATTTCTTTTTGAAAAACATTACCAAATCCTCAGTTTGAGTTTAGACACACCGAAGAGTACGTTTGAATCCCTCAAACCAAGGCTCTGATACCAACTGGTAACTTCCCAAATATAAGACCCGAAACCTTTTCAATTTTTAGATTAATAAAATAGTAAACCATTTCATTATCATAAAAACCAAAGTAATCAAATTGTATCAATATCATCAATCATCAAAGTAAATCACAAAATGTGGAAACATGTGGTGTGTGCTTTGCAATCATCCCGGGCTCTTTCCTTTGGAACTAGAAGTACCTGAAACATAAACTAAAAATTGTAAGCACATATCTTAGTGAGTTCCCCAACATACCACATACCATACATAAATAAACACATAATAGGCCCCGCCCAATGAGTGTATCGGGTCCGTCCACACTCGCAAAATAGGCCTCGCCCACTGAGTATAATGGGCCCCGCCCAAACTCACATATCGGGCCCCATCCATTGAGTATAACGGGCCCCGCTCATTGAGTGTATCAAGCCCCAACCACATTCATATAATGGGCCACGCCCGACTTACAAATCATATAAGCACATACACATACAAGAGTCATGCATACATCTAGTATACTAGCATCACCGATCATGGGCCAACATTGGTGCCTTAGACCCACTAAACATGTTAAGGAAACTCATCTTGTACTGTTGAATCTGACAGATAAGTCTCTAGCTACTGGTCCGCTAAAAATCCCCAAACTATAATCACAAAGCATCATCCAATTAAGAATTGGATCCCAACTCACACTTAGAATCTAGACACTTAAATGGTTAAGACTTCTGATAGGATATTAATCCTTGAAATATCGATTAGATTCAAAATAGATTATGAACTAGAACATAACATTTATTCAAAATATGATTAATGTTTATAAGCCATAGCCTCAGAATAACTCGATTAAGAATTTCTACTGTAGAGGCGTGTTTAGGGTTACAAGAATATTGCCAAAGTTTTTAAAACATGGTGCATGCATGCACCTTAAATACTATAACCCTAATTAATAAAGACGGGTGGACAAGCCAAAGCCCGTATACATAAATGGACTATTAAATAAAATACAATGACGCAACTCAAAATCTAAACAATCTCCCCCTTTGCATCAAATAAGGTGAGAGTCCATCAAGGTTGAGTTCTCTTTTGCACTTCAAAAACTTTCAAAACTATGCTCAACAAAATCTTGCGAACCTGGATGTACCACTGAATCATATCCAAAAAGCATACTCTAGGCAAGAGGTTGTGTGCAAATTTTTATCAAGGAGGAATAAATAGTCCTTGTGAAAGTATGCATCATTTCGTTCTCCCGCTTGAAAGACAACATACCATCCTTCCTTGTATATTTTCCTAGGCTTCAACTTTTCAAAACCTTCTGGGGATTCTTTGGGGACAACAAATGAGTTCCTTCACAATAGAGCAGCAATTTCCAAATCCATCTTGCCAACCTCTTAAACATACGAAACTATCATCAATTTGAGGTGACCAATAACGGGCTCGTACTTCCGTCCGTCTCTTAGTAGTAAGTTGTAAACCATGATCCATTCATAGGTATTGAAGGATGGCAGGTCTATGAGAGTGAATTCTTGAACCTAACTAGCAGAACCTCTCACAACCTTGAACTTCACATTAGGGATGCTTTCGGTTTCGATTGGACCCATCACCTTTACTTCAGTAATAGCACACCACGTTTCGTATTGTGGCTTCATGTGCTTGAGATAGAATGAGAAGATCAATTGATTAGCACCATTATCAGTGGAAGGGACATTCGCAACATTCACAAAGGAACAAAACTTGAAGTCTTTCAGAGTTATTGGCAGATCCAGCTGCGAAGCTTGTGTAATCTGAAACTCGAATGACACAATTGGTTCTAGCCAATATTAACTCGACATATCCGCAACTTCGTTCTGAATTCGCTTCAGAGTCCACCTTGGAAATAAAAGCTTTTAGATTTCTAAAGTGACCTGAGCTTTGCATTCTACTTTCTCTTTCACTTCAGACTCTCAGATTATTCTTTGATGTTCATTCGTTTCCCTCTTGTTTCGGAATGGAGCTAGATTCCGGAACACCTTCAAGTCGATGAAGCATAGCGAAGACAGGCCTTAGTTTCCCGTAGGCTTCAAGTATTTTACTAGCTGCAGGAGCATCTCGAAACATCGCTTTAGGAATTGATCCAACAAATGAAAATTTTGAGTTATCCGCAAGGATAATGTTGGTGGTGTGAAAGATGGAGATGGCATACATGATGGACTCTTGCATCACTGGAATGTTGTGTTTCTCGATTTCCCTCTAAACAATGATTGTCCAGAATCGAGCATAGGAGATTTCACTGTGTCTCATTGTTGAATGGGTGCTTTGTACCAATTGAGCCCAAATAATAACTCCAAAATCGATGTTGATTCCATTTTAGAGCCCATACATAATTGTCTTAAACAACTTACTGGCACAATCTGACCCGGTAACACGCTCCGAAAAGCTTTTGAACAATAGGGTGGTAAAGAGACCATTCCGTTGTGGTGGCAGATTGGGCTTCCTGAATTTTGAAATCGTAGTTAGGGTTTCTTTGTAACCCATTTGATATAACATCTCCATGATGGCGGCGATTGAGATGGAATCAGGATCTACCATATCATTGGTCTGAGCAAGCCCTAGCAAGGAGCAAAATCAAGACTTGGTAATTGAGGTTTTCTAGTTGTGAACATCAAAGGTGATCCGTTGTTCATCCTTGATGTAGCAAGTGGAGAAGTAATCCTTTGACAGGAGAGACATCGGAACAATCTCTGATGTGGTCAAAGCTTTAACCACTGGTGATTATTTCAAACATTCGATGATCGGTAACATGAAGCTATCGTACTTGAGAGGATCGAGATCAAGAATCAAGTTTTGGTTTTACTTGATGGAGAGAAGGGATGACTGCCCTCTTTGTTCTTGAACAGAAGGAGTTTCAGAGGATCCCACCATTGATGATTCCGTGAAGAAGAAGATGAACAGTTAAGAGCTTTTTGATCGTCGAAAATCTTTGAGAGTATTTGGTAGTGGTAGAGAGAGATGTATCATCAAAAACCCTTTATACCGTTTGTTTGGTGAGAGAAATCTGGAGAGAGATTGTATCGGGTACTGAAAAGTCGCCTACAAAAGCACAATTTGACAACTTTTACGTCAGAAACATGTGTCAGGTGGCGGAAAAGGAAACGTCCGTTCAAATTTTCATGCGCCCATTTGAATTCCTATCCATGAGAAAATGTCGTGTGAGCTTCATCCTTTCGCAGTTTAAGTTGTGTTCCACTTGTCGTATATAGATACGTACTTTCGCTTTTAAGTAAACTTGGTTTGAACTATGAAATTACAAATAAATGTAAGTGTCACGAACAAGACTTTTAAAAATTACAACGACCTTCGTGCGAGAGTGTGCCAAATATAAAGAAATTAAGCAAAGCATATGTGTGGGATTTTAGTGATGTCTTTTTTAAGACACGAAACAGTGGATCTCGAGCAAAGATATCTTCATTTGAAGTCAAGAGAGACTAAGAAGTGTCTATGTGGTTCCCCGTTGAATTACGATCACCTGTTTATTAAGAAACCATGAAAGGCATCTTTTCATTAGGCTTTACAGGGTGGCCTTTGCTTCTACCAAACTCTGAAACTTGATACAAGTATGAACGTTGGGATGAAGTACTCTTGTGACCGGTATAGTGAGTTGAACGAGTAGCTTTGGAATTATTTTAGTTACTTGGATAGATGCAGAAAAATAAATAAATAAATAAAAACTAGATGTTTTGGGTAGAAACATCTTAGGTCTTGAACGTTTCATTAAGATATCGCAAAAGAAAAACAGATTTCTTGGTACAGTCCACGAAAGTGGAGTTTCATTAATTCCTTAGTGAAAAATCTAGAACATATAATTGTTCACCGTCAATTCATAAAAGTGTGTTGAATTTTGCGTCTCACTCAGTTCGTGGTTGAACGAAACCAAGATCATTAACACAAATGTTGTGTAACCGAAAACCTCAGTGGTAATATCTGAGAGTCTCAAGGGTTACGATCATGAATGCGAAAGTGATGGAGAAATGTGAGATGGTTCCAAAGAAACGAATGTACCTCTGCTATGTGAAAGAGACCAAGCAGAGAACTCTAAGCTCAAAGTGAGAAGAGTAAGGTAGCTCATGACATATGTGAATTTGCAGCTTGATTGGGAAGAAACGATTAGTAGAATAGGTTCATTAAGGCTTCAACATAGAGTCGTCGAGGCTTTAGACAACATGCTTCTAGGGACACTTAGCTAGTACATTGGTAAAGAGAATTATACCTGCCCCATCATAAGAACTAAGAGTGAATACGAATATGTTCCTTCAAAAGCTTCTTAATCATCGAATATCTTTGATATTTTATATTTTTGTTAAAATAAAAGAAATAAAAATAAACACAAAGAAAATATTTTTGTATTTTTGTTTTTCAAAAAAAATAATAACAAAAGAAATAAAATTAAATTAAAACAAAACCATTAAATATTTTTGTAAGAAAAGAAATTAAACTAAATAAAAACTAGAATAATAAAATAAAGTAGAAAGGAAACAAAAATAAACTAAGATAAATAATAATAAAAGAGAATAAAAAATATACATAGTATACAAAAGGATATAAAACGCTCCAAACCACGAAGGAACAATGGGTCATGAGAGACTTGAGCTTTCATATGAAGACGTATATAAAATGGTTGTGAATTACTGCGAGCGTTCACACCGATTTGCGGAACAAAAGATGATTGCGAATTACAGCGAGCGTTCGCACCAATTCACATGACATCCTTCAGATAATGAGTGTGAAAGTGTAACTGAAAGCGAAAGTGTCACTATGAAAGTGAAAGTGGTTTTAAAACAGATTCAGCTTCCATCATTCTTAGACCTTGAAGAATTCTATTGAAGGTTGTTCCAGGCAAGTATTTTGTAAATATGTCAGCTAACTGATCATCGAATCTTACGAAGTGTATTTCAACATTACCATCTTCCACATGATCCTTGATAAAATGATACCTCAGTGCTTTATGTTTTATCTTTGAGTGTTACACTGGATTGTGACAAATGTGAATGACACTTTCGGAGTCACAATATAATGGGATTTGTTTCATGTTCAAACCATAGTCTCAAAGTTGGCTTTGAATCCAAATGACATGTGAAGTGTATGAGGCAGCAGTTATGTACTCTGCTTCAACAACTGAGAGGGATACACAAGTTTTCTTTTTCGACTGCCAACTCACGAGCTTGCCATCTAAAAATTGGCATCCTCCTATTGTACTCTTTCTATCCAGGCTGCACCCTCCCAGATCAGCGTCCGAAAATGTTTGTACGAAGAAACTAGAGCTTGATGGATACCATATGCCTAGTGAAGATGTTCGTTTAAGATACCTGAATATTTTCTTGACAGCGACCATGTGAGGTTCTTGAGGATTAGCTTGAAACTTGGAACAATAACAAAAAGAAAACATGATATTTGGTCGACTAGCAGTTAGATACGTTAGAGAACCTATCATTTGACGATAAAGCGTCATACCTGCAGCCGGTTTTTCCAAAGATTGAGTTAGTTTCATTATGAATGCCATTGGAACTTTTGTTTTTTAGGCTCCAACCATTCCAAACTTAGCAAGAATGGTCTTTATGTGTGCCTCCTGATTTATAAATATACCTTCCTGGCTCTGTCTTATGTTTAATGTAAGGAAAAAAATTAATCGGACCTATTGAAATCATCTCAAATTTCGTTTCCATTAGCTTTCAGAATTCAACTATTAAGCTAGGGTTTGTTGATCCGAAGATAATGCCATCAACGTAGATTTGGATAATCTTTAAGTGGTCACCCTCTTTCTTGTAAAAGAAGGTTGGGTCAACCGAACCTTGTTTAAATTTGGACATTTTTAAGAAACGAGTGAGAGTTACGTACCAGACCCTTGGAGCTTGCTTCAGACCATAAACTGCTTTATTTGGAATGTAACAGTGCTTCAGATACTTCTCATTTATGAAGCCAAGTGGTTGCTCCACATACACTGTCTCTTCAAATTCCCCGTACAAGAATGCACATGTGACGTCCATCTGGTATATTTCAAAATTCTTATGTGCCGCATAAGCCAGAAAGATGCGAATGGATTCTAGCCTAGCAATAGGTGCGAAGGTCTCTTCGTAGTCTATGCCCTCTTCTTGAGAATAATCCTTTACAACTAGTCACACTTTGTTTCATATAACGTTTCCTTCTTTATCAAGCTTGTTATGAAACACCCATTTTAAACCTACAACAGATGCATCCTTCGGAGTAGGAATAAGTCTCCAGACTTTGTTTTGTTCGAATTCATTGAGCTTCTCCTGCATCGCTTGTACCCAATCCTAACGATCCAGAGCAATCTGAATATTTTTGGGTTCGACTTTGGAGATGAATGAATTAAACATGCAATATTCTACTTTGGAGAATAAAGCAATTTGTTTCACTTTTTTGTGCTCTTGTAAGAACTCTTGAAGGCAGTTTGCCTATAACCTGCGTTTTTGGATGATCTCTAGTCCATTTAAGAAGAGGAGGATAATTAGGATCATAAGATGGATCCAATTCAACATTTATGTCCTTAAATTCTGATTGTATATCCAAATCATCATTGTGATTGTATTATCTTTCTCCCCCTCGGATGATGTGAATGTCTCTTTTTCAGGTGTCAGATTCTCCCCCTGGAGTGGACTTTCATGGGTATCTTTTGGAGTTGAGTGCTCCCCCTGAAAAGTTGCATTGGAAGTTGATTCAGAACTCCCCCTGGAATGTAGAGTTTGTGTTATGTGGGTCATTTGCACTTGGTGGCTCTTTGTTCATATCTGTTGCAGCTTAGTCAATTATTTTATTCAATTCATCGCCCTTTTTGTTAGCCTCTTTGGATTCGGAAGAGATAGCTTGACTCCTCTTTAAGTTGTTGTCGTTGAACATAACATAATAGGTTTCTTCTATTCTTTTTGATCATTTGTTAAGAACCCTATCTGCCTTGGAGGTCAACGAATATCCTAAGAAGATGCCTTTGTCAGTCTTTACACCGAATTTGTTACTTTGTTCTTTGGAGTTAATGATGAAGCACCTATAACCAAAAACATGGAAAACTTTACGTTAGGTTTTCGTTTGTTTATGATTTCATAGGG